AAGAAAATATAGCTTAAGAATCACTTGCTTACCTCATTTCTATTTCAAAACTTAATTACTGATTACATATAGATTATGTTTATTCAGGAATAAGTATATCATAAGATTGATAGAATTCTCAATATTACATCCTCGGTAACATAATGATCGATTTTTGAAATCATAGAAATCGTGTATAAAAAGTTGTTATGTTGTGACTTAAATTCATGTGATTTGGAAGTTTGATTCATGGAGGAAGTTTAGATAATTTTGTTTTGGAAGTTTAAATTGATAAGGGATCAAATTTCATCATGGATTCAAAGTTTTATTGGGAAAAGAACTTTGGAATGGATAAGGAACTGTTTTGGAAGCATTTTCAGAGACGGGCCACCTAGGTGCTAGCAACAGAAGAGGAAAACAGAATGTGGGCGCTGGGACACCAAGGCCTGTTCAACCAGCAAGAAGTCGGCGCCCCAGATATTGGGGATATCGCGATGCGGCATCGATACAGGGAGAATTTTTTTCCTATTTGTTTTCTGACGGGATTCTTGTGCTCTACTTCATTTAGAACTCAAAAATTGGGCTCCTATAAATACTCTGTAAAGTAGACTCTTAAAAGGTCAAGCAACAACAAGGTCATTGTTATATACATTAGAAACTTGAAAGGATTATTTAAATTTAGATTGAGAATATTAAATCTTGTAAAAATAATTTTATTTCTTGGTATATTGAAATTCTCCTCCTCTGCCTGTGGATTTCTCGGATTTAGGTTCTATGTAAATCTTATGTTCTTGTGTCATCCATTAGTTTTCATGTTGCTCTTATTTTCTTATCTTTATCATTTGGCTCAATTCTCAACAACTGGTAACAGAATCGAGGTTTTTACGATTTTTTTGGGGAAGGGCCAGATTGTTTATTAAATCAAGGTTTGAACATGGCTGATTTTTCAGGGATGGCAACTATGAAATTTGAGATTTTGCTTTTGGATCGCAACGGTAAATTTTCTTTGTGACATATTAAGATGTAAGCAGTTCTTGCTCAATTGGATTTGGATGATACTCTGTTGGGGTGGATAGAATACTCTCAACAATGATGTAGAGGAGAAAAAATGCAAGGATTGAAAAGCCCTGTCATAATTACATCTTTATCTTTCTTATCAAATTCTTCGGGACATGTTAAAGGAGAAAAGTGCAGCTAAATTGTGGTTGAAATTGGAATGGCTTTGTATGACAAAGGGTTTGATTAATAATTTGCACTCAAAGTAGTGCTTATATTCTCATCGCTTGACAGAAAATTAATCTTTTGAAAATCATTTATCGGTATTCAAGGAAATCGTCACTGATTTGAAGACCATAAAGGTCAAGTACGATGAAGAGAATTTAGGGTTGATATTGTTATGTTCATTGTAACTTTCATAGGTAAATTTTACAATACTATTATTTATAGTTTGGATACTCTCACTATTGACAAGGTATATGATGCGTTTTATTCTAAGGTGAAGATGAAACAGGTGGTCATCGATCTGAGGCACAAGTAGAGGTTCTTCTTGTTTGTGAGAGGAAGACGGGTGATCATGGAAGGGATAAAGTCAAGGATAGCAACAATGATAAAGATTATTAGTATTGCAACAACAAAAGGCATATGAAGAAGGATTGCTACGAGTGGAGGAACAAGAATAAGTTTGCGATTACAGATCAGAAGGGACAATCAGGAAATTCTGATGATGCCGGTCTTGTAGAAGAATACTGCAGTGATGGATATCTTTTGGTGATTTCTAAAGGTGATTCCAAACCTGACGAGGATTGGATTCTTGATACAGCTTGTACTTTTTATGTGTGTTCTAACATGGATTGATTTTCTTCATATGAAATAGTTACAAAGGGTCCGTGATTATGGAAAATAATGAGTCTTATAAAATAGCTGGTATTAATAAGGTCAGAATCAAGATATGTGATGAGACGGTCAAAGCACTTCATTTAGTAAGACGTGATCCAAGTTTAAACAAAAATTTTATCCCCTTGAGTACTTTCGATTTAAAATTGTACAAGTATATTGGTGGAGTTGGAGTTTTGAAAGTTAGCAAGGGTGCTAAAGTTGTATTAAGGGGCAGAGAAAGTCTTAATTATATATTTTGGAAGGTGCGACGGTCACTTTGGATGCAGTTGCAACTTATGTTTCGATAAGCGATAGCTTGATTAGAGTTGGTTGTTATCGTGTTGCTTATAGTTATTCGAGCAATGATATTAAAGAACCTTCTAGTAGCTCAGGTGGAAATAGTTGTGATCTTGTTGATCATCAAGCAGGTTTGGAGCCCAAGGTAGTTGTGCTAGTAAGCATGACTTGAAAAAGCTCACAATTGTAGAGTATATTTGGAAAAGGCATGGTGGAAAAGGTGGAGAATGACTAGAAGATTAAAGACTTTGTTCCTTGCTAGGAAATTTTTGTAGAAGTGGAGTTGTTATATTGTAACTCAAATTCCATGTGATTTGGAAGTTTGATTCATGGAAGAAGCCTATATAATTTTGATTTGGAAATCCGTATTGATAAGGGATTCAATTTCATCATGGATTGGGAATGTGACTGGGAAAAGGACTTTGAAATAGTTAAGGAAGTGTTTTGGAAGCATTGGATCAAAGAAGGAACGCCTAGGCTCTTAAAAAGATCAAGCAACAATAAGATCATTGTTATATATATTATAAACATAAGAAGATTGTTTAGATTTAAAATGAGGGTATCAAATCTTGTAAATATAATTTAGTTTCTTTGTATATTGAAATTATCCTCCTTAGCCTGTGAATTTCTCGAATTTGGGTTCCTCATAAATTTTGTATCTTTTCTGATTCATTATTTTTCATATTGCTCTTATTTTTTCATCTTTATTATTTGGACCAATTCTCAACAAAAGTTTCTTTATACAAATATGCATCGAGATACAATGAACTAAGATTCTTATCAAGTACTTGAAAACTTATATTGAGAAACCAAATATCTCACCAATCAGACTTGATCAACTTGTCGAAGCTTGGGGACTGATCTGCACACTTTGAACTTAAGGAGGACTAATAATGGATATGATTATAAAAGTTCAAGGACCAACGTTGATGCTTATTGTAGTTGTTGGATCAATATTGAAGATTTGGACCAAAAATGACCAAAACCATACAAGAAGCTTGAGGCAGAGACTAAAATGCCAAAAAAGACGAATGTCGAAAGGTTGCACCGCAGTCACTGTTCTATGATACAATCTGACCGTGATAGGTTGAAATGCCCATGGTTTGTCCACGTCCAATCGTATGCAGATTTGTTTATGTTGTAATTTTATCCAGAGGTATATTGATCATTTTTTTGCATACAATTCTCAAGGTAATTTAGGTCAAATTGATGGGGAGTAAAAGAATACAATAGATAAAAAAAAAAAAAAAAAATTGAGAACAATAACGTTAGGGGGCGTTTAGTTTGCTGTTTTGAACCCATTTTCAATTTTTAATTTTACAAAATATTGAAAACGTGTTTGGTCTATTATTTTTAAAAATTCATTTTCAAAAACAATGATATAATTATAACATGAAATTCAAAACGCTTTTTTGATGTTTTGAGTATTAATAGTGAACTCGAAAGCTAGAATACAAAGCGTTTAAATAAAATTATAAATACTACAAAATTTTAAAATTAAAAATATAAAATTCTAACAAATAGAATTTTTAAAATTTTAAAATTTTAAAATTTGAAAAAGTAAATTCATTAAAATATAGAAATTTGAAAAAAAAAATACAATTTAAAATTCTAAACAAAAAAATTTTTGAAAAAGTAAAGATTATAAAAATTTATAGGAAAAAATTATAAAAAATAACAAATAAAAATAATTCTAGCTCTTAATGATTCTTTAAATAAAAAATTTAAAAAATATATTTAAATGAACCTAGGCAAAAATATTTTAAATCCACACATAATTAGTTTTTATTTTTATTTCCTATATTCTAAATTCGTTATTATTTTTTATTTTAATATTTTAGTGGAAAAATATTATAATATTCACCAACTTTAAAATGTATATAATATTTGAATATATTAACATAATATTTTTTTATTGAATAATCAAATTTAATGGAATAAAATGTAATAAAACAATTTTTCAAAATTTTGAACCAAACATATTTTCTAGTGTTCTATTTTGAGAAATAATTTTTCAAAATGACTACCAAAAGCATTTTAAAATTTTTTAAAACAGATTCTTAAAACAGAAAATAGAAAATAAACTGAAAACTAAAAATTGAAAATCGAAATACAAACCAAACGGAATCTTAGGGTTTCAAGATTTTTACGCAAGGAAAGCGATTTCTTGATGCTAGATATTTTTCATTTCTCAAGTTTTTATAAATCTGGCTTTTCTCCTTTGTGATGTGTATGTAAACTATTAGTTGCGATGAACAGTATATATAATATGAGATTTAAACATTTAATTTCAATCTTGAAGATTTGCGTAGTTAATTATTTTATTTGTTGACTTCATTTCTTCGAGGTTGAATTACTTGATCATTAATTCATAATTTGTGAATTGTAACAAGTCAATAGGTAAATTATAAATTTAGATTACGTGGTAAAATTTGATAATTGAGTAAAATGTAGACGTACATATTTATTGTTGTTGTCATTCATTGAATTTTTAAGTGATTTAATATGTTTAATTGAGGATTATTTGGATTCATATAGAATGAATTGGCTCAACTAGATATGATTGATTTGAACTTGAGAGATTTAAAGTGGTCTAATTAGTAAATTCAGCTGAGTACAACTTTACGAATTGAACTTGAGAATCGAGAATAAATATGATAAGTAAGGTGAAATTGTGAGTTGCAACGCTTTAACCATTATATTGAATAATTTAATCGTAATCTACTTTTACTTTTCTTAGTTAATATTAGTTATAATCAAAACTTTGTTTGAAATATTGTTTTCTTCAAATAAGAGGTCTAGTTATTTAAATCGATATTGGGGATAAAGTAGTATCTAAGGGACAAAGATCCGCACTATTTAGGTTCATTTTACTAGTTTAATTGATATCGTACACTTATTATTTTACACCAACAATAGCTGAAGATTTAAGTTTGTAGATATTGGTCCAAATTTACAATTGTTTGGCAGAAACATGGTTTGGTTTGCCGAAACCAACCAAAAAACAAAAACATGACAAATCTATAGGGAAATTAAAACAAGAAGAATGATTTTGTGGTGAACAAATGAATGTTATCCTGGCAATATTATCCTGGTTGAATTCATAGTCACAGTTGTAGATTGTCCAACGTTAACATGATCTTCAATTTGTCCAGCTGCCCATCTCCTTAAAATTCTCATCAATGTCCCGGCCTTTCTTTTTGCTCTCCCTGTTCCCATTCCCATTATTTCCCACACCACACTCTCGATTCCAGCGATTGAGGCCAGCTCCGACACTAACTCCAACCCGCCTTTCCGGCATAAATTCACTAGTGTAGCCGCAGCACTTTCTTTAGCTCTGTTGCTACCATCCCTCAACACACAGACCAATTTTTTCGTCATATTCTGGTGATAAGCAGCCGCGACTGCCGCTAATCCACCCCGTTTCACCACCATTTCGAGGATGGTCACCGCCTCCTCTGTCAGGGAATCAATGACCTCGGCAACCATATCCACCACCCCTCCCTCAATTAACTTCCCTACTGCCTCCCTGTCTCCCGCCAAATTTAAAATTGCCACAATTGCATCCATTTTCGTGTTTGTGGGACCCTCCCTCGCTAGATCGAGTAATCCCTTCACGACACGTGTCTTTCGACCTAGTCTTTTCCTATAAGCATGTACACCTGTCAAGCTAAATATCGTGGCTGCCGCATTTCCCTTTGCCTCCCATGTGGCACCCGACCTCAATACCTCGATAACACCGTTTAAAACTCCATCCGTCTCCATTACCCTCGACTTATTGGCTTCGAGGATCGAGAGGTTAAGAATAGTCGTGACGGCGTTAATTTGTAGGTTTGGGTGTTCCGAACCTAAGATTTTGACCAATAAAGGCAAAGCTCCAGCCTCCACAATGCAGGCCCGACTATCCGAATCAGTCTTGGCCAGTATCCGTAGCTCATGAACCATACGGTTTAATGCTACTGGCGATTGTGACGCCGTTAATTTGTTAAGCAAAAACGTCACCGTCATCTTGGTGGCTTCCAACGCGGTTTTGTTCAATACAACGCCGTTAAATTTGATATTCGTTTCTGTTGACTCAAATGGGATTCTCTGGTTGCGGCACCACATAACTATCAAATTCTTCAACGCCAGATTGGGTATTAACTGCGTGTGGGCCAGGATCTGACCTGTTTTAGGGCACGTGTTATGTCCTGATTCGATCCACAAGCTTATAGACGACCGGTCGTAAGTTTGTCCCGTGGACACCACCACAGGGTCCCTCATCAGATCAAGAGAAATAGGACAGCGAAAATCCGCCGGAAAATTCACATCCACCGACGATCTCCGCCGTCTGCTGGTGGTTCTTGGCGTCGAGGCACCATATAGCACACACTTTCCATAGCGCACAAGCCCGATCAACGCGACTATATCGGATTTTGACCTGTCATCGTTTTGAGTCTGCACTTCATCTTCTAAATTCTCAATTTCTGCACTGCAACTTGTTGAATTGTTTAACTTCAATCTGTCGAAAATCTGTGAAAGTTTCGAAGTATCAGGAACGATTTCTCTTTTAATATCGTCGAGCATTTTCAAAACCTGAACTCGAAGATTTTCGTCATTAGAATCAAAATCAGATTCCTTTTCTGAGCACTGTTTCTTGATCAGATTCAATAACTCTTCAACATCTTCGTTTAAATTCAACTCCTTTCCCGGGAAAATATCTAAAAGGGTCGATAATTCTCCGGTCAGTTGATGAAAAGAATTCGAGATAGATGGTGTTTGCATTAGAAGCCACACCTTACTACAGCTGGAACAATCTTCCAGGAGAATTTTTAATCTTTGCAAAACTATGTACAATTCTTCGAAGCACAAGACAGCTGAGGGTGGAAAAACATTTACCGGGTTGCGAAGAAGCTCTTCGAAAAAGATTGAGAGGAGCCTTGATTTTCTGGTTATTGAGGATGAGCTTTTCTTGAGGAGAATTCTGAGTGGTGAGAGAGATGAGATTTCCTGAGAGAGAAGAAACAGAGACTGGAGGAGCTTGTTATCTGAGAAATTGGGCGAGACAAATGCTCCGGCAGACGGCCGCCGTTTTCTTGCGGGGAACCCTTCTTCTGACACCGCCATCCACCAACGGAACGACACCACCGATGAATTTTTAATATACAAACTACAGATGGAAAATCAGAGAGATTGTAGAATTAAAACGTTTGTGGTAATGTTTGTAGATTCATTTAAATCAAGAAACTTCTATTGAAAGCAAACGATGGTGGAAACGAAAATAAGGATCAAACAATGAGCTGTTAATGGGGACCAAGAAGTTTCAGCTAGATGCTTTTTCTAAAGTATACTTTTAACATAAATATAATCGAATAATGTAATGTAATTGTATACACGTCTCTCTCTTTATATATATTATTTTGTAGCAATTGACTTTATCGTTAAAATGTAAACAATGATTGAATCATTCCTCAGTATGGAGGCGACTTTGTATGCTAATTGCGTTCAAGCGTATAAATAACATATACATAAATGAGCGGAAAGGCGATAAAAGAAGTATCGACAGCCGAGTCGAGTCGTGTTGATCAAATGAAGGTCAACAATATACATCTATATAAAAATATATCCATGTATACAATTTGCCGGGTAAGTTTAGTTTTGTATTAAATATTATGTAATCGATAAAAATGATGTTTTTGATGATTGAACATGTTGCCTAACTTTAATTTTAAGTCGATGACAACTATGTTTTTAGTAGACAATAGTATGAGGAATTCAAATGGCCAAGTCAAAACCGGTGGGGGGATGGGGATAGGATGTTTCCTGCAGCCGCCGGAAGTTGGCAGGTGAGACAAAATCACATGGTGAATAGTTATTTTCTTGATAAACCTGGGGCTTTGCCCGCGATTTTTTTATTGGGAGCGCTCCTATTGTGGGGCTGTATATTGAGCTACGTAGTTCAGTGTACAAATATCAAAACCCTATATTATGATCCTCATGTAATGTGACACGTTATTTAAAGTTAAATGATAAGACAAATCAAAGGCCCCATTTGGTTTTGTAAAAATTATAATTGCAGTTGAAAAGAAGAAAAAATTGTGAATCCCATGAAATGTATAAATAAAATTAATTGTTGGCTTAAATTTTCTGCAATCGTTTTAACTAAACCAAACATGGACCAAATGTGATCCACTTTATCTTTATTAAAATTATCATTTTATGTCATCTTACATGAATTCATCCTCAATTTGTATTAATAGCATTGCTATTTTGTGTATTAACAAAATAGGAAAAAATACACCATTGGTCCCCAATTTATTTCTTGACCAACAAGTTAATCCTCAAACTTTAAAAATTGCTAGAGTTGGTAATTTTCAACCTTTCTATTAATTGTAAATGAGTTTTCAATGAAGGAAACCGTCCAAATTTTAATTAAATGTCACTTAGCCCTGTTATTTTTCACTTACGAAGTTATATTGTATTTCCTAACTTTGGCCAGTACATATAAATTTGAAGTTCATCATATTTACGTATTATGAAGATTTGGATATTTTAATTATTGGAGAATAATTGTGCAACTATGATAAAAGGATGAAGGTCAAGTTTACAAATTTAGGTTTCAAAGTGCACAATTTCTTAAATGTCACGTGACACTCATATGTCTAGCATTATGCAGTAACTTTTTTCTTTCTCAACTTCAACTAGTCCGTAGATATCTGAGCCGAAACATGAAGATTTGTATAGTTTATGTTATTTAATATTGATTGTGCTACTATAATAAAATGCTAACAACAAAATTGCTCATTTTCAAAGGTTAAGGAACAACTTGCTACTCGATCGATAAATTGATAACTCATCGTACATTTTTCTTAATAAAATAATATAGACGACCGGTCGTAAGTTTGTCCCGTGGACACCACCACAGGGTCCCTCATCAGATCAAGCGAAATGGGACACCGAAAGTCCGCCGGAAAATTCACATCCGACACCGACTTCCGCCGCCTGCTGGTGTTTCTAGGCGTTGAGGCACCATACAACACACATTTTGCATAGCGTACAAGCCCGATCAGTGCAACTATATCGGATTTTGACTTGTCATCGTTTGAATTTTGCACTTCATCTTCTAAATTTTCAATTTCAGTAGTGCAACTTGTGGAATCACGTAAAGATAATCTGTCGAAAATCTCTGAAAGCCTCTTAGAATCAGGAACGATTTCATTTTTAACATCTTCCAGCAATTTCAAAACCTGAACTCGAAGATTTTCATCGTTAGAATCAAAATCAGATGTCTGTTCTGAGCACTGTTTCTTGATCAGATTAAACAACTCTTCGACATCTTCGTTTAAATTCAACTCTTTTCCAGGGAAAATATCCAAAAGGGTCGATAATTCTCTGGTCATTTGATGAAATGAATTCGAAATTGATGGTGTTTGCATTAGCAGCCACATCTTGCTACAGCTGGAACAATCTTCCAGGAGAATTTTTATCCTTTGCAAAACTATGTACAATTCTTCAAAGCACAAGGCAGCTGAAGGTGGGAAAATGTTTACCAGGTTGCGAAGAAGCTCTTCGAAAAAGATGGAGAGGAGTCTTGATTTCCTTGTTATTGAGGATGAGCTTTTCTTGAAGAGAATTCTGAGTGGTGAGAGAAAGATGATTTCTTGAGAGAGAAGAAAGAGAGACTGGAGGAGATTGTTATCGGAGAGGCTTGGCGAGACGAATGCTCCGGCTGAAGGCCGCCGTTTTCTGGCCTGGAAACCTTCTTCTGACACCGCCATCCAATATCACCGATGAAATTTTATTATACACACTACAAATGGAAAATCAAAAAGATTAATGAACTAAAGTCTGTGGAGATGTTCAAAGGTTCTTTTTGAAATCAACAAACTTTTACTGAAAGCAAAAAATTGCCGAAATGAAGGATCAAACAATTAGCTGTGAATAGGGACCAAGAAGTTTTCTAAAGTCTACTTTTAACAAAAACATATGAACAAGTACAATAATGTAGTCGTATACACGTCTCTCTTCATATATAATTATGCAGGTGGGACTAGATTTTCAAGTCGAAATCAAAAAAGTATTGAAATAGAAATTTTGTTAGGTATTTATCTTAATAACATCAGTTACTTCTATTAGCTAATCAAAGACAGATTTCAATTTCAACCATACATCCAAATCTATGACTCGTTTCTAATTTATTAATGAGATAAAAAGTTGTTATCAAAGTCAATCATTAACTAATTTATTGAGATAATTTAAAAAGTTGGGATCAAAGTCAATTATTAATTTCATCAAATTTTATTAACATCTGTTAAAATTTTTATCAAAACATTTGTCAAACAATCCCTAAATAATGAAAATGAGATTTTTGATGATAAGATGATAAGAACATTTGGCCAAAGGTCAATTTTATCTCGCTGACAACTATGTTTATAATATACAATAGTTTGAGGAAGTCAAAACAATCAAGCCAAAGCCGGCAGTGGGGGTTGGGGACTTGTCTCCAACAGCCGCCGGAAGTCGGCAGACAAAATCACAAGGCAAATGGTCAATTTGGTGCATGTATAAATAAGAAAAATTAGTCCTCAGTTTATTGTTTGATTAGTAAATTGATTCTCAAACTTTGAAAATTATTAGTAAGTTGGTTTTCAACCTTTTATTAAAACGTAAAGTTCTCAATGAAACTATCCAAATTCTACTCGACTGTCACTTCGTCTTCACATGTTCAATTTTAAGAAGTTGTGTCGTATTTCCTAACTAAGGTTGCAGCATATAAATATAAGAAAAATGCTACTAACAGCACCTGGATTACAAAAATGCACAGGTGGCAATGTGAGATCTTGCCACCTATGCAGTCTGTAAACCAGATGGTACAAGTAGCATAATTCTAAATATAAAATGAAATTCCCATCATGTATAGAGAAAATGTAAATATTTCTATTATTGAATACTGATTGTATAATTACAATAAAAGGTGAGATATATTTTGTTACAATTCTAAAGGTTGAAGACCAAGTTTACAAAGCTAGGCTTTAAAGTTGTTCAATCCGTCAAATGCCATGTAGAACTCAAATGAGGGGCGACGATCTCTCTGCAACATTTTGAATTTTGTTTAATATATACATAATAAATGTATCAGGCCAAATATTTTGTCCCCAATGGATAGAATAAAAACTTTCCACTCTGACCTAACAAGAGAAAAATAACTATGATTCTCCGAACAGTCATAAATTCAAATATTCATAATTAAAATTCTTTTGCAATATCAGCAATATGAAGTTTTTATTCTACCCATTGGGGGTGGGAGATTAATTCTAACACATGTATATTGGTCCCCCTAAAAATTATAGCTTCACAACTCTATTTACGGAAATAAACACGATTGAATTTTGACGAATCAATATTCCTATTTCATTTAATAATCTCTCTCAAGTAATGTTAAACATATTCCATATATGATCCGAACTATATTTCTATACTGGATGCGAACATATAAGAATACATAATTTTTTATAGACACTTCATATAAGACATAGCGGTATATTTTTATTCATTATCGAATCCTATGACGATTTATACCATGTCGAGCCTATTTCCCTTCTTTCGAATACATAAAATAAGCTACTACATTCACACAATTACCATGCACAATAATTTAGAGAAAAGAAATTCATATAAATCATTCAGTATCCAAAAACCCGTTTTTGATGTTAAATGTGTAAAACTAAAGATTAAAATTTTGTATCACATAGTTCATCGTTCTTCAAGCACAAATAAATTTAGCCTAACATGTTAGGAAGATGAAAACAAAAGAAATATTGAAGAAACAATATCACCAAAATAAATCTTTAATTGAATCCTCAAGTCTTGGAATCGTTATCCGTGTTTCAAGCCTATTTCTATGATCTAAAACCTCTATGATTGTGTCATACTTCATTGTCACTACTTATGAATGGCTCTAGATCTTTAAGAGACATCCCAAGATTTGTTTCTATAAGAATTTGAGTCATATAAGGAAGCCATAATTTTTCCGCCGAATATATACTATGCGATAGCATAGTACAAATGCAGGCGTGCTATAGCATAATTCTATGAAATTTGGCCCTGAAATTCTCTGAACCATGCCATGCGACCCTGTAGGAAGTATGCTATAGCAGAGTTCAAGTGAAAATTCAATCTTTGCATTTTGATCCCCAAACTCCATTTTTTCATTTCTTGATCTCTTTTCTCACTTCTTCTTCCAATTCTTCATGTCTTCGTTCAATTGGTTTTCGACTCATTCACATTTTCGTTTCTTCTTTTGTGTCATCTTTTGCTGTCTTTTTTCGCTTGTTTTTCCTAAGTTCCACCATATTCATCGATATTGTCCTGTAAAACATAATCTATATAAAATTAAGTCATATTCTAAAATATTTACCAACAATTATCCATATTTTGTGGCCTAAATAAGTATGTAAAATGCATTTATCAAACTCATGTTATGAAATTTGAAGTGAAGCAAGTCTCCTTGATGATTTCTGCTCTTGGGGATTGATTTTGTGGCTATAATAAAAATTTGAAGACTGACTTACTCTTTTTGAAGGTTGAGCATCGATTTACTATTCAATCATAGATTAATAAAAAATTGAAGACTTGCTTACTCATTTTTAGAAGGCTGAATACCGATTTACTATTCAATCAATAGATTGACACCGCATGGGAAAATCTTCCCAATAAAATAATAAGAATGGCCATATATAAAAGATGAGCTGCTGACCGGCAAGAATGGCTGAATATGGTGGGTATGGACTTTTTCTTGTGATAATCAATAATTAATTAATTTTTCGATTTGTTATTATTAATTAAATTTGCAATGACTATATTTTAGTAATATAAGCATTATATATGGTCAGACGACCCTGTCTTGTCTTGGTGTATATATCTGCTTGTGACCTTTTCTTTAATTAATTGTGGTTTAGGTTTTAATCCATGATATACACGAAGTCTTTAAGAAAGATTCTTCTTTTAATAATACAAGTTCAAGAAAAAAAACACTTGGGATTGACCAATGAAATGAGAGAATTAAAGAAATTTCTATTATTTACACCGTAAAGATAAATTTGTAACCTAGAATTAAATCTGTATATATTGTTCGTGATAGTTGTGTAACCTCGATTCAATCGAGTTAGTATAATATGAGATTAAGTAAAGGAATGAATTGATCCTTATAGTATTTAAAGATGTAACTCATAGCATGCGCTTCATTAATATTAAATTGACATAACAAAAATTTAAATAATAGATCGACATAACAAAAATTTAAAACAAGACCCTATTCCCATTTAGTCCGTGTGTAGCTAATGTCTATAAAAGGTTTATAATTAATAAAATTACTTTTTATCCACATATTTTGTGAAATTTATCAGAGCTAAACACTTATTCATTATTTATTTCTATTTGTTTATAATTTGAACTTGTTATAAACAACTGCCTAAAATGCTTTTCAACTCTTAAAATGGGGCTTTTAAAAAACATCATTTTTTGGCCTTTGCATGTTTTTTATTTAACTTTATATAAAAATAATCGAGTATAAATTTAGAATTTTGCTATTTGTACAGATAACATGACATATGCTTTGACTGATGAAAAAAGAAAAAGAAAAAATAATTTGACAAATTTGCCTATAAAACTGATTGTACACGTAATACATCTCAAAAGTTTATATGCCGTGCATCCGTAACTCATGATTGTAAATATAAAAAGTTAAACATAAACATGTTTAACACATCAAAAACTACTTAGGTGCATATCAATTATGAAGGGATGTACACCTAACATTGTTTTGGACTTACTTAAAATAGAATTTTTGCAAGAAAATATGCTTTGTTTTGGCTAAGGCTTGCCCTTTTGGGCATTTAAGATTTGCGTTAGCTTATTTTCATGATTAGTGTGACAACTTCAAACAATGCATTGACATTTTCCATCATATCAGCCATCACTCCGACTTTTATTGACTAAAAATCCGTTCTCTTTTCTTTAACTCTATAATTAATTACATTTTTTTCCCTAATGGTTTATAGATGGCTCGTTATATTAATTATTAAAATTATTTTTTTTATAGAGTGTTAGGGTTCCATTTTTTTCGACTCAATACAAACTTTAGTGTTCTTAAAGCATAAATTGGCACCTTCGTGAATAATCTAGGATTTGATCTATTGCAACGTACATGTTGACTTTTACTAATCTTTATGTGTTTATACATCTTTATACGTGACTCGTTATATTAATTATTAGAAGTACTTCTCATTTATTATGTTTTTAGGGATAAAGGGTTCCATTTTTTAGACTCAATATAAACTTTAGAGTTCTTGTGGTGTAAATTGGCAAGTTCATTAACAATCCAGGATTTGATCTATTGCAATGTACATTTTGACTTTTACTAATATTTATGTGTTCATATTTCTGCGGTTTAAAGAGATTGCCTTGACTTAATTCATATAAATTATGATCATCATTTTCTTGAACTAGGTCCAAAAATCATCTTTTGACTGAAATTATAAATATAATGATTAAGAAAATAAACTAACGTTTACCTAATATTAGATATTTGCGTGATGCTATACATACCTTCCTTCATGATTAGAAATAGAAAAAGAATCGAAAAAAACAATTCTGTCTAAATTATTCATCTAGATTTTTTAAATCTATCTTCTTTTATCATCTCATAAAAATTACACTTTCATTTTCCTCAAATAACATCAAAAATAACAAATGATAAGAAAAGAAACTAATATTCAATTATTGTTAGGTTCCCTCAAATAAATAAATACTTTTCAGCTAAAACGGATAGAGTACCATTATATTTAAGAGTTATCTATTCTTAAATTAAAAATGTAATTTAATATTAAAATAAAATTTGTTTTCATTAGACATGAATGGACAAACGAACAAGCTAATCTTTATCAAATTTCATATCCATCCACAATGATGTTGCATATGACCTAAATTGCATAATCTTTATACAACTTTTAGTGGATGTAATTGATAGAATAATTTAATTTGTGGGCAAAATGTAATGATGACAAAACCATGAAATTTAATTTGACTTTTTTCTTATGGTTTGTTACAACAAATTTCATAAATAAATATATAAGAAGG